GTTGTAATATAATAATGAAATAATAACAATAAAACACATTTCCTTTTAAAAATAATATAATAAATAGCGATAAACTAGAAGAAACACTATAATGGCGGGGTTGAGATGAGAAGTTAGTGTCCGAGTGGATCGAAGTCACGATAGCTCAAGTGGTAGAGCAGCAGCGTATCTAGCCGAAGATCGTGGGTTCGCATCCCGCTCGTGACACTAATTTTTTTTCTTAAATAAAAACTTTAATTAATTGAAAGATATTAATTGGTCAAGCGGACCACGAAAACTTGTGAGTTTATCAGTGAGTTAGTCCTTNTTTTAATCCTTTCTGTTCATATATAAAACCAAAAAGTCTAAAAAGCCTGTTTCACCAACTTCCACGACAATAGTAGGGCGAGTAGTTAGTTTGTCTCGTATTTGCCACGTTATTTTGGGTTCAAATCTCAGCAGACTCCATGGCTTTTTAATTTATAATAGTGCGAAAAAATTTGTTGTAAAGTGGTTTCACCCTTGGTCCAAGACACCTAACGGTTAGTTGAACGTTAAGCCATTCAATTTAGCATGAAATTAAAAAAAAACTTAATACATTAAATACATGTATGTAATTAAACCGAACATATCTACTCTAACATACTACGCTTCGACTCCCATGACATCCACCAGACCATTTTTTCACCTCTCTCTGTCTCTGGTCGCCTAAAGACTTCAAATTATTTTCCAACCAGCTCAACCAACTAAATCGTGGTCTACCTAGTGGTTTTCTCCCTCCAGGGTGTCTATACATTGTATGTTGTGAACCTCATGTCTAATCCATCCAGGTATATGTCCCAGCCACCGCAACTTGTCTTACTCTCTTATACTCTTGTCCAACATTATAAAAGGCCACAATATCCGACTCCCCAAACAATATGCACTCTCTCCCTCTCCCTTTCTCTCACTCTCTCTCTCTCTCTCTCTCTCTCATACATATTTGTATATAGAAAGAGAGAGAAAGGGAGAGGGAGAGAGAGAGAGAGAGAGAGAGAGAGAGAGAGAGGGAGAGAGAGAGAAAGTGTGTGTGTGTCTGTCCTCTTATTATGTTAGTCTGTCGGCCTAGAACGTAAATTATTTTATGCGTGCTGATATTAAAAGTTTTAAAACAAATGTAAAAACTTTATAGAAAGTTTGAACAACATGAATCACGATTATTATTGAATGAATGCGTTCTCCATCTCAATTACTGTTATCGATGAATTTGTTGCACAAGCTACTGTTTACTAATTATATTTAATCCATTATAGTTCGTGGTCCGATTGAACTTTTTTCAATTTATTAATATTTATGAAAGGTATTGGTTGAGATAAAAAGTCAGTGTCACGAGCGGGATTCGAACCCACGACCTTCGGCTCAATACGCCGCTGTTCTACCACTTGAGCTATCGTGACCTCGATCCACTCGGACACCAACTCATCTCAATCTCACCTCATTTTTGCCATTTTTCAAATGTCGTGTAATCTGTTTGATTCTCGGCGACAAATGAAATGGCCACGGAGAGCTTTAGTGTAGTATACTTCATTTTGCTTATTACATTTTATTAGGTTTCGTGGTCCGTTTGACCAAATAAATTCTTTTCAATTAATTAAGGTTTTGGTTGAAATAAAAAAGTCGATGTCACGAGGGGGATTCGAACCCACCATTCGTGAAGATATACTTCAGTTTAATTATTAAATCCATTGCAGTTCGTGGTCCGATTGAACAATTAACTTTTTTCAATTAATTAGTATTTAATTTTAAAGAAAAAATTAAATTACATATTTGCTGGCTTTGTTACATGCCTTCAGTTTCGCCGTTTTCAGTGGTAGGTATGTTCATGTTGGATTCTAACACCAATATAATCCTAACCAAGTTTGGTAAACGAAGGGGTACCTTTCTCTAAAATATTTGTCTAAAAATCTTACTTTATTTCACCTATCGTAGTTGTTTTGACAGGCGAGTTCGGCATTTTGCCATTTTCAACAGTGGTTAGGGTTGTAAGTAGGGTGAGGCATCACCGAACACAACGAAATTCACAGAAAGCAAAAACCAGAACTATGGTTTACCAAACCAGAATCGCATCTGACACCCGAGGATAGGTAGACCAAAAAGATCAGTTACGACAAAATTACAGGTACATCGCCGCAGACCGCACAGAGTGAAGAAAGAGAGAGACCGTGTAGGTAAGAGGGTGAGTGATTGAGTGAGAGAATGGTTTTTATTTATTCACTCAAAGTTAGGTCTCTTGGATCTTTCTTATACTTAACTAAATTCACTAGTTTTCCTGGTCCGCTTGACCAATTAATATCTTTTAATTAATTAACGTTTTTAGTTGAGATAAAAAATATTGAAAAAAGGCAAAAAGGAGGGAAAATTCAAAAGGTGGGGTGACACTCAAGTGATAGAGCAGCGGCGGATCTAGCCGAAGATCGTGGGTTCGAATCCAGCTCACGACACAGATTTATACTTAACATGATACATTATATATTTATTATGATTTTGACTCCTTTGGTCTAAACAATGTATTTTACAATTATAATTTATAATAAAAATATAATATTATATTTAATACAATATTATAGCAATATAATATAATATTTTGTGTTTTGTTTTTGTTAACAATTTGCGATAAAATTTTTTCTTTTTGTCGTTTTATAAATTTGTAGGATATATCAATATAATATCAATCGTATCAATAAATAAATAAATAAAACCAAACAAATAAATGGTAGGCTGGTAGGTGTTAATTATAAAGGTTAATCTATATCTATATAAATTACAATACATGTCAGTTATATATTGGGTTGTCCGGAAAATAATGCAGGATTTTGGTATTAAACAAAAAAAAGAAACTAGTTACTTTAAAGCAATGTTCTTTAATCAAAATAATTTCCCATACTCTCAATACATTTCTCCCAACGTGTTGGTAACTTATTAATTNCAGATTTTATTTGCCGTTTTCACTTTGTTTTTTAAAGCAGTACCTTTGGTGTGAATTATTTACTTTTGGAATTCGAAACTTTAGTACATTTGAAGTTGCCACTTAGTTTATTTTTGCGTTTATTTTTGATGATTTAGAAATTATACAAAATATTCAATTTTTTTTAGACAAAAAGGAATAGTCTGATGAGTCTCACTTGATCAATCTTTTGACATAACTTTAGGTCACACGTATTATTTTTAAAAAAAATTTATATCTCAGGTTTCTGATATTTTTACCATGCTATATACATAGAAAAAGTCGATCTTGGTTGTAATGATGATATTTCGAGGAAATATCATTTCATTCCCATAATGATTGGCCACAAATATTATTTCATTTTTTTATATCTCAGGTTTCTGATATTTTTAACATGCTATATACACAGAAAAACGTCGATCTTGGTTGTAATAATGATATTTTGAGGAAATATCATTTCATTCCCATAATGTTTGGTAACAAATATTATTTCATTTTTTATATCTCAGGTTTCTGATATTTTTAGCATGCTATATACACAGAAAAACGTCGATCTTGGTTGTAAAAATGATATTTCGAGGAAATATTATTTCATTCCCATAATGTTTGGTCACAAATATTATTTCATTTTTTTTATACTTAAGTTTCTGATATTTTTAGATTCGTAATGCTAATGCTACGGTTAACAAAAAAATTCGATATTGGTTGTGATGATAATTTTTGGATGTCTGAGTTGTTTTAATTTATATTTTGATGTGTGTGTAGATTTTTATAAACACACGTCTTTTACCTTTGTAGAAACATTTTTAAAATATTTATTTAATTAAAAATTTCATTACTGACATTGATAATTTTCGAATTTATTTGTCCATGTTTCCCTTGATTTTACCTATCTTTGATGGAATGGACATGAACCATTGTTGATATTTTGCTTCCGAACTAACGAAAGTAGGGAAGATTTGGATTCATGCAGGAAGTAGAAAAAAAATGTTGTCCTCCAAAATCAAAATTTCCACTCGCATTTTGCGTTTCAGACCTTTCTGAACAAATTTGGTTCCATGTCTGTCTGTCTGTGGGCTGTTCTTTGTGGGACAACCACGAAATAATGAGACCAATTTTTATCAAATTTTCAGACGTTCCTTTCTAGATGGTCCTCCGAATTTTATTCCAAATACACAAAATGTGAAGAAGCTACACTAAATTGATATTTTTATTGTGAGAAAATCATTCGGTGAAAATTTAAAAAAAAACCTCATTTAATATAACGAACTGGATCTTGCTCAATTCCGTCACTTTTTAATCAATTGCATATGGAATTTTGCCGAACTTAATTGAAACTAAATTATTTTAAAGCTATTATGCGATTAACTTTCTATATTGGCCTATTAAGCAGGCCAAGTTGTAAAATTGCTTTCTATTCGGTCAAAATCATTCAATAAAGCACTTATGATTTAACCAGATTATTACATAAAGCAATGTTAGACTTTTATGTTTGAAGTGTACGAGGTACCGAATATGATGGAGCGGCTTTTGGCGTCTCCGGTATAAAAGGAGTTCCGTTCAGAATTTTTGCCGTCGTGGATTTCGGATTTTCCATACTGACCGAAAGGATTTCCTGGGTTATGTAATATGTCAGAACATAAGCAGTTTAGCCGCTCAGACCGGTTGCCCTGCAGACACCGACCTTTATTTATTCCCTCTGGAATACGCCGGTTTTGTTAAAAGGCCGATTTGTTTCAGAATGATTAGTCGATGTGAGAGAGTTCAATGGTATGTTTTTGGGACCGCTGGTTTTTCTAAAAAGTACCAGGGTATATATTTTTAACATAAAAAATATATATATAATGATTTGCAGATGGTTTGTTTTAAACTATTATCATTAACATACAACAGACCTTCAAAGTGAAAAATTCGAAAATAGAAGGAACTATGTTTTTAGTCATGTATGACACGTTTCAACACACGTTATTAACAAATGAGACTTTCAAAAAAAAATTTATTTTTGTTTATTGATCTAAGTTTTTAATATGTTTTATAGTTGTATACCTTCTTGTTGGTGGCCTTTGTCGCTGCTGAAGAAAAGACGGATCTTGTAGAAGAGCAGAAAGTCGAAGACGACAAAGCACACGACAAGAGGAGTCTCGTGGGTGAAGTTGGATATGGTGGGTATGGTGTACACGGAGGGTACGAAGGATACGGAGGACATTACGGGGGTTATGGATATGGCCATGGCGGTTATGGATATGGACACGGCGTTGGACTAGTAGGAGTTGGCCTCGGCCTTGGAGGCTACGGTGGAGGGTAAGTGTAAATAAGTAATTTTAAATCGTTTCAAATGGCATTAAATGATAATTATTTGTCATTTCAGAGTCCTTTCCCAGCACGTCGAAGTCGAGAAGCACGTGCCCGTCGTCAAGTACCACGGCGTACCGGTCAGCGTACCTCACCCCGTACCTGTACCCGTCCACGTTCCGGTCCATGTACCTCACCCTGTGGCCGTCAAAGTTCCAGTCCCCGTCCCGGTTTACAAAACGGTGACCGTCCCTGTCGAGAAGCCGGTACCTTACCCGGTCGAGAAGCCTTACCCAGTCACCGTGTATAAAAAGGTGCCGTACCCAGTACCAAAACCGTACCCAGTTCCTTTCCCAGTCTACAAGACTAAGCATTACTACCGTGAGGTCCACCCAAAACACTACCACCACGGTGGCTGGTGATCAATTAATTTGTTTTATATTCAAGTAGACTGTATATATTATATTTAAACTTTTTTTATATTTTTGTAATAAAACTGTTTTCAATCTATCATATTTTCTTCTTTTTGATTTCAAATTCACCACAATTCTTCCCTTGGTGTGATGGCATAATATTTAAAGTTATGTTTAGGATCTTAGTACCTTACTGAAAATCTACCTTTACTAAGGTTAAAATTGTGACTTGTGTCAATTGTTAAAAAATCACTACTTCTTATAGCGCGTATGTTTTCACTTGTTTATAATAATTATTTTTCTTATACTTATTAATTAATACACAGGTTCAATTCACTAGTTTTAGTAGTCTACTTACCAATTAATATCTTTCAATTTATTAAGGTTTTAGTTGAGAAAAAAAAGTTAGTGTCAAGAGAGGGAATCGAACCCACGACCTTCGGCTAGATACCCCGCTACTTAGCTTCGATCTACTCGGACACCAACTTCCCATCTCAATCCCACTTTTGAATTTTTAATTGTTATCATTTTTGAAATAATTTAATAATATTAAGGTATGATTCTTTAAAAAAAAATAAAATCCTTTTTAAAAAGATAGTTCCTACTCACAGTAAGTTGAGTTACTGCACTGTTATGCAACGTCCGGATTTCGAGCCCTTTAGCTCATCATCAGGTTGAAGGAATTCTACAACCACGTCTCTCGACATGAATTGCAAAACTTTACTTTACTTTACTTTAGTGGGTAGGAACTATATTTTTAAAAAGGATAGGGAGGATAGTTTTGAAATGCGTGAAGCCACGTGCATCCAACGATTAAATAAAAAAAAACTTTCATTGCAACGTTTCACATTCACATTTTTCGCTTTCAATTGCTTCATTAGAACGGGTGGTTTTGGTAGCTCAAACAGCCTCCGGGACCGAATATTTTTTTTTATAAATCGTGTTTTATGAAAATGAAAAATATAAATAATTCTTTAAATTCACTAATTTCGTGGTCCGATTGACCAATTAATATATTACAATTAATTAAGGTTTTTAGTTGAGATAAAAAAAGTCGATGGCACGAGCGGGATTCGAACCCACGACCTTCGGCTAGATACCCCGCTACTCTAGCTTCGATCTACTCGGACACCAACTTCCCATCTCAATCCCACGTTTGAATTTTTTTTATCGAAGTCACAAAAGATCAAGTGCTAGGCTAGCGGCATATCTAGCCGAAGGTCGTGGGTTCGAATCCCGCTCGTGACACTGACTTTTTTTATCTCAATTAAAACCTCAATACACAGGGTTGTCTCAAACATTCTGGCAAGCCTTTGTGATCTTATAGTAATTGACTTGGTGCTCATGAGTCAAATGACCAAAAATATGTTTTCTCTTCGTACTTTATTATAAAATAGCACGAAGTAAAAATTGTAAAAAAAAATTCATTTTCTTTACAATGAACTCTTTAATGAAAATAAAATGTTAAAACTTAAACAGTGGTTTTTGGATTACGAGAGAGAATTCTGTGTAGGAAACTGCTAAATTGAAGTAATTTTATATTTGTACAAGTTTGTCTTGGATTTGGGGAACACCTTATAGGATGAAGGTAATAAATTTCCTACTTTTTTCTTATCCTATGACAAAACATCAAAGAAAACTTAACTGAAAGATGAAATAAATCAAACGACTATTCGACAAATGGGTTAAAACCTTTTTTAAGTTAATAGGCAAACTCACATAGCAGTACGGTATTGCGGTTTAGCAACTCAGAGTAATTTCGAAATTCCCGACCATCCCGACCTGATACACCAGGATGTGTGTATGTCGTCGGATTTAACTCATTTGCTTCCTCCAGAGGTCAGAACCGGTCGGGCACTATGGAAGCTCAACCTAGGTGGTTGGACGGATAAGACTGAGGTCTGACCCTCCTGGACCGGTGGGCAGATTGAGCTTATATAAATCAGAAAAAAATGTGTAGTGATCAATATACTTCTTTAAAGTTTTAATATTATCGTGTGTTTGGCGAAACTTGATTTTGCCCCCCCCTTTTTTATATTTATACGTGGACGACATTTTGACAGCCCTTCCAATAGATAAAATTGATGAGGTACTGAAAATACTTAACAGTTACCATGAAAGACTGAACTTCACCTGTGAGGTGGAGGAAAACGGTTGTATAGCGTTTTTGGATGTGAAAGTAACACATCAGGTTAATGGAAATCTGAGTACGAGTTGGTACTCAAAACCCATGGGATCGAACCGGTTAATACAGTATATGTCCTTCCATTCTTGGTCAACTAAATTTAACGTGCTGATTGGATTACTAAAAAGGGTTTTCAATTTGTCGTCGAAAGGTGTTACTAAGAAAGACAAAACACTGGTTCGGGAAATTTAAAAAAAGAATGGGTACACGAGAAAAATGGTAAATAAATTTATAAACAATAACAATCTATGGAAGATAAACCCAAACGAAAACTCGGAAATGCTAGAAGATGAAAATGATTCTGAAATTTCCTATGTCACTTTCCCTTACATCGAATCCCTTACATCAGAACAGTTGAGAAGTTGTCTGAAAAGGAAGTTACCTCTAGTTAAGTTGGCCTTCCGAAACAGTAATGCGGTTAAAAAATACTATTCACCGCTAAAAGATAAAATTGAGAAAGGACTACAATCAGGCCTGGTATACAAAATTTAATGCACAAACTGCAAGAAAGTATATTATGGTGAAACCAAACAATACCTAAAGAATAGAATTTATCAACATAAATACACAGTCCAAACTAGTAAAAACAATGAAACTGCCTTGGCACAACATGCAGTTGTTGAAGGTCATACATTTTTAGTTGATGATGCTAATATTGTTACAAAGGAACGAAATAGTAAAAAACGAAAGTTCCTGGAGGCCCTTTACATAAAAAAAGATAAACTGTCTGTTAATTACCGCCAACACTGTGATATGATAAGTGATTGCTATTTTAATTTGTTAAACAATATATAAAAATAATCTAGTCAATTTTAAACTCTGGAGGAAACTTAAAATCTGTGATAGTTCTGATAATAATTGTTAAAATATTGTTAATAAAATAAATAAAATTTATTGTTTAAAAATAGATTTTTAAGAAAAATGCAATTTTAACTGTTGACTGGTTTTTTTAATGTTGATTCGTTGGTCTGTGATAAGATGTTGATAAGAACGTCACATGAGAGGTTGTGATAAGGGTCTATTCAGGTTCAAAAAATTAAAACGTTTTTTCGTAGTCTGAATAAGTACCACACTGGCTCTTTTTTAAAATAAACTGTTATAAAATATTAATGACTGACGACCACTTTTTTAACCATTGTAAGTAGTGAAGAAACAGTGATAACCATGTTGATCTAAAAATGTAAAAAATGTTTGTTCTGTGTACAGGCGTTAACTCACCTGAGGAAGGATTAAAATAAATCCGAAGCGTGTGGATAAAAACTGGTTGTGATTTTTTTGAGATGACCCACCTTCAAGAAGGAAAAATCATAAGGTTTTAATATTCCTTTTGTCAACTCTTATATACGTACAAGGTACATGTAAGTATGTCAAAAAAAGCCCATTTATAAGTATGTCGGGTTGGAATGCAGGGCCGCTGGATTCGAACCCGGGTCCTTTACCTTACAGTGATGAGCGCCGTGTCAACGCCTAAACCGTAGCGGCCACCGACCCCCCCCTCACGATTTATTTCCCTGCATTATTATTAATAATATATTGTTATCATACGTAAATCATACTAAAGTTATTATTTTTACTGATATTTACATTAATTTTATTTTTACTTATGTTTATGTTCAATGTAATATTTTTGTAGTATATATTTTTGAATCATCATAAGTTGGTGATGAACAGGAATTAATAACAAAAATCTAGAATTCATTAATATTATTCAGTTTCCGTTTTTCTCAATTGTAAGCCTATTTTAACAATTTGTAAAACCGTAAAACTCAATAAATGTTTGGCTTAGTTTCACTTGTAATAATTTCAATTTTGTTACGATTAGGTCAGTAAGATCTTTCCCACGTTCTCTCTCTTTTTTTGGGGGACTGGTGACAGTCACATCTGCCATATGCCACTTGTCTTATCAGATTTCTTTTCTCAATTTCCGTAATGCTGCAGTTTCGTACAACCTGATAACAGATGTGCCTACCGTCTCTCTTGCCTGTAGACCTAGGTCGACCCTCTCCCGGCCTTCTTGTGTGAAGCCCTGTTTCTAACAACCCTTCCTGTTCTGATTTACCCTCAGTCTCCTCTGTCTTCGTGCTTGCTGTATCCTTCCTCTAATAATGTTCAATGCTTGACTGAAACCGTTTAAGAATAAGAATACAGTAAAAATCGTTTAAATGAACACCGGTTGTAAAAACATATCGATTATAAAAACGAAATTTCTAGTTCCCGGCCAGCTTTAATGCGACTTAATGTATAAAATATCTGGTTATAAGAACACCGTTAGTAAGAACATATCACTTTTAGTGACCTAAAGTTATTGTTTTTCTGAGAAAACAAACCTTTTGTAAGAACTTCATGAGAAAATAACAGCACACAGCAGAAAATAAACACTTCAAAACTGGGCCCATTGAAAACAGTTTGATTCAAGGCTATGAAGACGTAGACTTGAGGTCTTGCTACCCATGGAATCATCACAAATGAAGAAATCGTTGCATGGGTCAAAGCAGAAGAAAATGATTTAGAAGAAGACAATGCCATAACAGATGATTCAGGCGATTTTTCGTGCCCCATTTTGAAGGAAATGTTCTCAGCTATAAATATAGTAAATAAATTTTTAACATGTAATGACAATTTTGCAGAGGAATCTATGAATCTATGAAAATGACAGTGATAGAACTTGTCACCATTACAGAAAATGCCTTTCACATTCATAAAAAAAATAAACAAACCAATATTACAGACTATTTTTCAGTTTTACAGTAAATACAATTTTTGTGATTAATCTTTTTGTTTTTATCTTAAAACCTAAACAATGATAAACAGGGCTTGAAATTCGCAAACGCTTTTTATTTCCAAACTTGTTACTAAACGGAATTGCTAATTTCAACCCCTTAAAAGTAGTTACAGAGGAATGGCTGAAAGAGCCTTCAACTTTCAAAAAATTGATCAATAATTAAACATAAAAAAATTGATTACCGGATATAGCAACTATCGGGCTTAAGAACCAAGTTCAGGCATGTTCTTATGAACGATTTTTACTGTAATATCAAATGAAATGAACGAAGGGAAAAGATTAAACGAAAGAAGTCTTTAGGGGTAGCAGAATGGAAGGGTGTAACAAAGCATTATTTACCGTTTATTTTGATTACGATATTTTCTAATTCCCTGTAACTAATGAATACCATGAAAGATAATGGATTGATTTTTAAAGTAAATAAATTGAGTGGTGCGTTAAATTTGACCATCAGAGTATTCGGCTATTTCAACCGTGAATTTAAAAATGATAATTGAGGTTTGACAAGTTCTTTCATATCTGTCATGTTTCATCTTATAATAAAAATCACAGATAAGTTAATTTGGATAGAAAAGTATAATTTCAAACATAATTCATTTAAGGCTAAGTTGAGTGAACAATATCAACATCCCTATCATATTTATTAGGGTGGATGAAACAATGAACACCTTGCCACCCTCACAGCCATAGGTCAGGTTTATGTGGATTTTAAATTAGTATAGAGTGAGTCCTCGTTGGAAAGGACACTTGACTGAGTTCCACCATCCTTATATTTGTTAATTAATTGTCTCAGTGCATTTTTTTCATTACACTTTATTGGTTTTGAGGCCATGCACCACACCCCCTGAAGAAGGGAGAATTATATTATTTTTTTTTTAACTAACGTTGTTCTAAAACGCATTCATTGTGCCATCGAGAAACAACTATTTGCCCAATCGATTCTTCAGGGAATGGATCGGCAAATAATATTTAATTCTGAGAAAATAAAATAAAATTGCCATTTTCCTGAAAAAAGTCTCATTGGTCAAGACAACTTTTTATACCCAACTTGTATAACGTATATTATTTATTTTACAACTTGTACGTAGACATTTCTAACACAGTTTTCATAGTTAAGGAAAAAGGGCAGGGCATTTATTCGTCTTAATCACAAGATTATTCGGAAATCGTGAGATGCGGTCTGGTGTGATGTAGGTTTGAAAAAAACATTTTCTTTATCGTGCCAACGTTTCGATCTTTATTGAGATCATCTTCAGGGACTGGGATTTACCAAGATTGTTTAAATTTAACAAGAGATGTGGAAAAAAGCGAATTTATACAATGCAAAAAATATTTTTTGTATTCAATCAAAGTATTTCTACTCACTCAAAATGTTTGTTTTCTGCGAAATTGTGCCATTCTTGCGTGTCGTGTTGAGAGTGCCAGTGAGATATTAACATCGGTCTTACATCCCAATATCTGGATAAGAGAGTAAAGCAACATATCTATGATTGCAAAATACTACACCACTCGCTACCCACCATTTTGAACAAAGACAATTTCGACTTGAACAATCCAAAAATATTACTCACAGAACAAAACAAAAATAAACGTAAATTTTTAGAAATAGTTTACATCAACAGAGATGAACAGCATCAATTACAGAACAGGCACGTGTAAAATCAGTCGCAGCTACGCCAATATTATTAATCAAATTCAATATAGATAACATACATATATCATCACATCACACAAAACACATATTATAACATATAAAACAATCATCACATTCCACACATCAAACATTTTTATATAGTTTTTTACAATCATAGATATGTTGCTTTACGCTCTTACGCTTTACTTTGATTGAATATAAATATATTTTTTGCATTGTATAAATTCACTTTTTTCCACATCCTACATCTATTTGTTAAATTTAAACAATGTTTGTAAATCCCAGTCCCTGAAGATGATCTCAATAAAGATCGAAACGTTAGCAAGATAAAGAAAATGTTTTTCTCAAACCTACATCACACCTGACCGCATCTCACGATTTCCGAATAATCATCGACTAACGGTCACTATTCACCACACACTTAATCACAAAGTTCATTACGTATAAGTAGATAATTAATTCTTGAGAGTATAGCACTAATGGCTGCCCTATGGAGGGCGGTCCTATCCGGGATGCCGTACAGAGTAGGTTTCTGGGTTCTTTGCGCGCTTTGAACCCCTAGATAACACGTTAAGTTATCTAAATGATTTTTATCCATATCCCTCTGATACGTCCATTGTAGGAAAGAGATACATACCACTAGAAATCAAGCGCATGGTATCTACCTATATCGGGTGTCCATTTTAGATGGCCCGGCTGAATTTCTCTTGAACCAATGGCGCAATCAATTTTTTTGCAGAAAAATTATACAGGGTACCTCAGGCCATGTTCAACCTCAAAATTTCAAATACGACCATATAATTCCAGATAGATTATTTTAAAGGATTTTTATGATGAAAACAATGGTGATTATCGGATTATCTCAGGAGAATTTTGTGCAGCGCCTAAAAGAGAACACGAATTGGAATTCTGTTATGCTGACTGGTCAGTCGCGTTTCCGTCTGTACAGTGATAGCAGGCGCCGAAGAGTCAATGCCTTAGTTCGTGCTCCCTTCAGTGCAGTTTGGAGGAGGCGGTGGTCTGGTCTGGGATTTACACTGGAGGACGAACTGGACTCCATATTGCCGAAGGCAACCTCACCGCAGTCCGTTATGTCCAAGACATTATCGGGGAATGCATCCTTCAAACCAGGGATCTCATTGGTAGGAAGTTTCGTTGACAATACCAGACCTCATAGTTGTTCATCAATGTTTAGAAAACCTGGGAATTTCCCATCTGCCTCATCCCCTATCGCCTCCAGACCTCAATCCTTTGTATCCATTGGGCACATATAGGATGCATTGGAGAGAAGGTTTTTCTATCCCCATCCGCAGCCAGTTGACCTGCAACAACTGAGTCTAGCGTTACAACATCTATGGAGTGAAATTCCATATAAAATTAGTAATAAACCTTATTAACAGTATGCCTGGCAGGTGCACAGAGGTTTTAGCTAACAGAGCACATACAACAGTATCGATTGTTTAAAAAAATTATTGTGTCCAATAAACAAAATTATGGAATTAAAACCTTTTATTTCGTTATTTTTCATAATCCCTTATATAAATTTTCCTTCTGTAAAATACATAATAATTTCTAATATATTTTAATGCGATTTATAATAAAAATAAAATAAAAATTGCCAGGGAATGTAAATACTACAAAATTTGCAATCCCTATTCATTTTTGAGCAGTTTACATTTATGTTTTATGGAGGTGTTTTAATTTGGGCCATCAATACAGTATAAATGTGCAGAGGATGCAGGATACACCTAAATAAAAATTACATTTGTTTTTAAAATTTTATTGCTGAGAAGAACAATAATAAAATCATGTCGTAAGTCACATTTTATCTATTTGTGAAAAAGAAACTTCATACTACTCTAAGTATAAAGGAGAAACTTTTAAATCCAGCATAAATGTGCCAACAAAATTGCTGACCGAACAATAAATGTGTTATAATGGTTAACGATACCTTAAAAGAAATAAGAAACTGAATTTGGCACAACATTCATTGGTATTCAAAAAGATGGATAACACATATTTTTGAATCAAGACCTTATTGGCCACTATATTTACATTTTATTATAAAATAATATATAAGGACCTATTTAATATATTTAAAACTATGATGAAACTGCGAAAGACAAACCTTTTCTTGATTAGATTTTGATTACGTTTAACATAAATACTATTGTCTACAAACTAAAAAAGAAAAAAATAAGCTATGTGTATGTTGATTAGTTTCACATCTCATATTTTCTCACTGGGATTAGTTTATTTTCCTAGTATTTACTGTAAAGCATAAATGCTAGGAAATCACTATACACAACGAAAGGTCGGTCTTTATATAATTAAATATAAAAAGCTCTTGTTTGAAATGAAATTAAAAAAAAAAATAAAATAGTGATTTAGTAAATTTTAGTGTACAGCAATTTTAAACGACTCCTAAATCTGTGCGAATGCCGACGTCGTTGCTGTGCTTCTCAGCAGCCATATTCACTTCGACCAAAGTGTCGATTGAATTGATGCTAACTCCTTTTAAAATCTTTTGGGCGGCGATTGACGTAAAATGTAAGGACAGATCACTCAACGAGGGAAAAGGGCAAAGATCGTTTTCACTCTGTTTGTTCAAGCCGTCTGACTTTTCGTGGGTCGGGTGCATTTTGTTGGACGAGTTGAGACAGTAGTTTTTATCGTCTTTTTTATACGATAAGTCGTTCTGAGTCGCCTTGAATATGTTCTTGTAGCTCAACACTTTGTCGAGGATTTTGTCATTGCTCAAAGAGGGCTGGAGAGGACTCATGGAGTAGGAAGCGTGTTTGATGTTGTTCAGAGGGCCGTTGTCGTCGAAGCTGTCGGCGACATCGATTAAGCTGCCGGCTTTTAGGGACAATGCCGAAGGGTCGAAGACGTTTTTCTTCTGGCACATGTTGATGTTGTTTTTGTTCTCCGACACTAGACACTTTTCTTCTAACTGGATGGTTTCGGTGGAAGGGAATTTCATTTTCAAATTGTTTTCCGCGTGGCCGAGGACTTTGGTCTTGTTGACCGAGTCCTTCGGGCTTTCTCTGTTCTGGTACAGTGAGGTGGGACGTCTCGATCTTTTGTAATCGCTTTTCGATCTTTCTTTTTCTTCTTTTTGCACCTTTTCCGCCGTCGAAGATTTTCTGGACTTTTCAAAAGTTATGACGGATCTCATCGGTGAGTTGTGCTGTTGGACGTAAATCTTGGTGGAATTGGGCCCGTTGATGGTGGTCGTGAGCATGGCAGAAGGGTCGTTGATGGATGCTGTCATGTGGGTGTCGACTTTCGTATCGGAAATGACGCCACCGGCCGGATTCGAGGAGAGCTCGACTTTGATCGAGTTCTTGGGCATATGGCGGGGCGAGGTTTTCGGCGAGCTCTGGCTCCCGGTCTGGGATTTGGCTTTTGACTTCAGGGAACGGGGAAGGGAGTTGTAGCCGGACGAGGCGGACGACATCGCCTTCGGCGTGGTATTGCTGCATAGAACCGTTTTGGAAGAGGACGGAGTCGAAGGTGATGACGGCCTCGACGGTGACATGGACGGAGCCCGGCTGCGCCTCCTCGGCAGCCGCGATGTACTCAGCGACCTCCGTCTCGATCGGATCGTCCCGTACTCCGACGCCCAATCTGTATCACTCTTGGCCTGAAATGACAATTTTAAAAATTAAAAGTATATATTGGGCCACAGCCCTTCTAACACCACATCATAAGAAAGCTAGTCGATAACCTACAGGATCCATAAGGTGGGAAAGTTAGTAAACTTTAAATTCTAATCTTCCTAAATTTTAAGGATGTACAGCTCAGCTTTAAGTGAAGGTCAAGTACATATAAAGTCCCTTGAACTTCCTTTGCTTTAAACACAAATAAGGTATGGTAAGTATTTTTTATGCTTACTTATATTCATTAGTCATAAAAAGGTATATAACTTATTAAGCTTTCAGTTCCTGTAAGTATGTGGAACTAAGAAACAATGTTTCTTAATGTTTTAATTACAAATAATCATCACTCAATCTGACGCTAAGTATAGGAAGATTTTAGAAAAATATTAAGCTTAGGTAAATACTTGGAAATAAGGAAAGTAAGTACAACAGACCATAAGGTTTAAGTAGAATGATGATGTGCTACCCGATAGAAAAAGTAAGGAAATGGGTTTTAATATAGGTCAAGTATGTATAAATGAAGTAAGTAAATAAATAAGTTCTTTAAGTCTAGAATGCTTTATGGTGTAAAATAAATAAATCGGTAGCTTGACTAACTTTCATATTTGTACTAGACTTTAAGTACAAATAAGCAAACTAAATAACTCAGTAAGCCTTTTTTTAAATTTATTGAAGAAACTTTATTTGTACAATGTTACATTATAATCACACAGTAGATACTACATAATATTATACCAAAAAAAATCACATGTGGTGAGGTAAGACACCCAAGAAAGCCTAAGTTAAAGCCAAGAACGTATCGGTATGTTATGTAGGTAAGTTCTCTAACCCTCCTCAGGGTTCTTTAGCTCATAAAAAAGGTATGTAACTTATCAAGCTTTCAGTTCTAGTAAGTAAGTAGAAGTAACGAACAAAGTACAAATAAGTATGTTAAGAAAGCTCCAGTTAATACTAAGCTTTACATTCAGGTAAATGGTTAGAAGTAAGGTAAGTAAGAAATTCACTAATTTCGTGGTCCGCTTGACCAATTAATATGTTACAATTAATTCAGGTTTTTAGTTGAGATAAAAAAGTCAATGGCACGAGCGGGATTCGAACCCACGATCTTCGGCTTGATACGCCGCTGCTCTACCACTTGAGCTATCGTGNGGTCAAGTGGTAGAGCAGCGGCGTATCAAGCCGAAGATCGTGGGTTCGAATCCCGCTCGTGCCATTGACTTTTTTATCTCAACTAAAAACCTTAATTAATTGTAAGTAAGAAATTTAAACTAAGTGCTAAATATATAGAACTAAGTATGTTCCTTCAGCTTATTGAGCTTTATGCAGTAAAGAATTAAGTTACTAAACGTAAAATACTTAAACATAAAATATACATTCTAGTAAAGCTTCAGTTTAAGTCAATACATGTATGCAAGAAAACCAAATTATTTCCTTAAAATTGAAGTACTAAGTAAGATAAGTAGGTTGGTATGTTTTCCAGTGAAGCTCAAGCGAAATGCATATAAGTATGTTACGAAGTAAGTAACCAATTAAGTTTCTAAACCACTACGCTTTAAGTACAAACAATAAATGTTTTAATTTTATTTTTCGCGTAGGTATAAACTTGTCAGTGAGTTATGTGATTTTATCTGTAGGTATTGTACATATTAATAAGGTAGTAGCATTTAAGTTAGCAAGCTGTAAGTTCTTGCCAGGTACGACAATTAATACATGTAGTGATTACAACTTTATGAGCAGCAGCAAGCCCATTTGTATGTCGGATTCGAACCCGGGACCTTTCCAGTGATGAGCGCCGTTGCGGCCACCGACACCCACTCTAAGCTATATAGCTATAAGCTTTAAATACAGTTACTATCGTGGTTAATGGAATTTGATTTATATTAAATCATAGTCATAACTCATCGTCATCGAAGCTATTTGGTAGGTAATGCATGCAGGTAGAAAGACATGGAAATTATTCGAAATTTTTGAAGCGGTTTATACCATTGATTGAGTTTGAGTTCCGACAGATTGGAGATGTGCAACAGATGAGTTGAACCATTCAGGCGGGGGGAAACCGTCCGAGATTGAGGGGCTGGTCGACGTCGCCGCTGGAGGAGGAAGCCGTCTCGGCCACCTGAAGATCTTCCAAAGTAGGGAACACTTTTCTATAAAATGTACAAATGAAGTTAAAAACCTCGTTTCGATTTATTTTGAAATACGAAAAAACACTTGCTTGTTGATGTGTCAGTGTTATTATTCTGCAGCAGTCTGACGGAGCCGGCTCGGTGTAGTGTCGAGAGCTTTCTCGAACTGCCAAGAAGTCTCATGGAATGCCTTCTTTCCAGTTTTCTCGTCCCTGAACATTTCGTAGGCGATCTCGGGTACAACACTTTGTCGTTTTTATTTCCTGCAATGGATTATTGGGTTAGATATAACGTATTAATCTAAAATAACAATAATCTGAAGAAAAACTATTTGGCGTAAACTACACCATTCAAGTAGACGCCTTGGGCGAACGAAAACATTTACAATACCACCAACTTAACATGGATACATTTGGACAATAAAAATATTAATGTTTTGAGGAGCATAGTGCCCGAGTATTTAGGGTTTCGACTCGTATTTGCCACACTAGCGGTTCTGGGTTCGAAACTCGGCTAGCCCATAGTTTTTTAATAAAAAAATAGTATGAAAAAAGTATTCTGAACTGGTTTGGCCTTTAAGCCCTCCCATATGACCGGACTGACTATAAAAAAACTTGCACGGCCGGCTTGAAAAAAAAAAACGCGAATTTTTTCGCTCTTTAAAAGCTTACATAATTTAAATTTAAACTTACTTAAACTTATATTGAGAATAACGTGCGAATGCTGAGACACATCGGAGAAACATAGAACATAAAAGGCAGATACAAGAAACGCATCAGACCATTTGAAGACAGAAGGCGGAAAATTGAATTACACGACTCACCAAATAGAAAACAATCACAAACCTTTGACAATACAAAAAAGCATGAAACTACACAACGTACAAAAAGGGGAAAATGAACATACTCGAAAATTTAGAAATACAGAAACAGTTAACACTAAAAAAACTAATAAATACACAAATTAACAGTAGCGGGGGCGTCGGTGGCCGCAAGGTTTAGTCTTTGACACGGCGCTCATCACTGTAAGGTAAAGTCCCGGGTTCGAATCCAGCGGCCCTGCATTCGAACCCGACATACTTACAAATGGGCTTTTTTTCAAAAACACCGGTACCCTGAGGGTTTATATGACCTCTGCTATTGCGAACCCAACAAAACAAATTACCCCCAAAACAGTACACAAATTACAAAGAAAAAAAAGAACCTATAATCAAAAAGACCGAATGGAACAAGAAAAAACCGACAAACGAACACCAACAGAAACCCCCTACCATCCATGACTTCAAAACCGAAACTTGAATCCACATAAATCACCCAGACTCAACACTGAAGATGGCGAAATGCTGAAGTCAAAATCAGCGAGGATAGAGCTAGAGATAGGAAAAACGAGACTTTTTAAGGATCAGATCAAAACTGCTCAATTAGTGAAATTAAACAGGTCTTTTTCGTGGGTCGTTGCTCACCGCTAGCACTCCCCTAATTTATATTAACCATAATTCCATGGGTAAACATTGGCGGGAGGTAATATATATATATATATATATATTCTCTGCTTGTTTATTTCTTTTTCGCATATTTTGTTTTAAACTGCAGCCATTCAAGCCTCTCGATCTGGTTACTGACTCTCTTCTTTGAAACTTTTACTACGTCGATATCATAAAATACTAGCCTAGTATCTAAGGTTGTCAAATACAGAATAGAAACAAACCTAACAATACATACATATATACATCATCACAAACATAGATGTCTTGTCAAATTCATTCCCCCAGAGTACACGATATTCCTCGGAGAGGTGTTGAACCCATAGCAGTCTCCCTAATAACTTACTTTTACTTTCCAGTCGTCATACATTCACCCCGGAGTACTCGATATTCCTTGGGGCGGGGTTATAAGCAATCCCTTCCTTTCACGCTAATAAATTACATTCATTACAATAAATTAACACAAACACAACACTCGATAGAAACATAGAGGTCTGGTCACATTCACTCCCCCAGAGTACTCGATATTCCTTAGGCGGAGTCATAAGCAACCCCTTCCAATAACTTACTTTTACTCTCCAGACGATACACACTCACTCCATAGTGTTCGATATTCCTCGGGGCGAGGTTAAAACAGCCGATTCCTTTCACGCTAATAAATTACGTCCATTGCAATAAATTAACATAAAGTCAACACAAATACAATAAAAACCCAAATAAACACTATTTACATTAAAAAATCCCTATAGCCCTGAGGTACCACAACAGACTGCCATGCTCCAAGACTGTCTGATGATATTCCAAAATATTTATTATTTATGTATTATTGTCTATATACGACAAGCCTTCTGCGATTGAAATGTGCCGACCTTTACGAGCGGAGCCCCTATCTCTAGATAAACAAACCGAGATGATATCCAATCATAGGTTCATGAGCAGACCCGAGGAGGAAATCTCACAATTATTTGACGTTTTCGCCAGTAGTTAGTCTGTGCGTCTCCCTACGTGTTCTTTCATACGTTCTAATGGCTTCCAAAACAACATTTGTTAAAACTTTCCCAAATTGTTTATACATTACCAGTTTATATTATACCAGAGAATAAATTTCTATAAAGAAAACAAATTAATTTAATCAGTTGATAGCTTAATTAATATCGAGAAATGAAATAAAAGGTAAATCAACACTTCAGAAATTTATACAATTTGCAAACGGTTTTTATACAGCAGGGCCACTTTTTTTTGCAAAAAATTCTACTTGTGTTAAATTATTGTGTATGAATACTAAATTATTCCGCCATATTTTTTATGGGAGGATAAACCTTTAATTTAGTCGTTTTGTAATCATCCTGATCCGATCTGTCACTCATAACGGCACTTCGCCATCTTCAGTAGAGTGTGCGTTATTTTGTCGTTTCAGAGTGTTGAACAATGAAATATACAAAAATAATTTACAATGTACAGCAGATAAAAACACTCAAAATCTACAAAATGCTCGTAAAAAGGGAGAAAAACATGGACATACAACTGAAAGTTTAGAATTAGCGAGGCTAGGCGGTCCAATATGAACCAAAACTAACAAACGTATCGTCAATTTGTGATAACATGTCAAAGACAAAATTTTGAAATGGCTATTCTGACAAGTGATAAATTGAAAACAAATAACTTTTGTAATTGTTGTTCATTTCCAACGAAGGACCAAACAATTTGCTAACATGTGTAATTGTTGGCGTGCCAGGAAGAAATTGAAGGATTTTTCCTATTGTTGGATAGAAAGGAAGAAAACTATGTTTTGTATTAAAATAAAGTGATTTCTTTTTTAATTGGGCAAAGCAGGATTGAACTAACTTGATATTAAGGAAACTCCTTGCAACAACATGACTCACGCTTATGATTATAAGTTCAAGTATTGTAAAAGGCGAACCAGAAATGCTTTCGATACAAGTGGTCGTTTTTGTTTTTCCTCTGTTCTCTTGGGAATTGCGAGTGTAGTGTTTAGGTGTCTGCCATTCCGGCTTGATCCCGTTTTCCATGCAATATCACGATTTGCCAGTGATAACTGGTTACAATTTACGCCAACTCACGATCCCGGGTCTTATAATTTTTTTTTAAACTGTAAAAGTCGACTCGGCGGTCTGACAAAACGGAGACGGGAAATTGCATTGGGCAATGAAAGAATTTGGAAAGGAAATGTAAAACTTCACCTCATAACGTTAAAATACTTAATTTTATCTTGCCTAATTCGAATTAACTTTCTCCGATGAAAAACGACACAAGGCCGTCTATAAATCGGTCCCGTCAGTAGCACGTGACACGAACGAAAAAGACTTTCTAAGGTAAAATTAATAAAAATCGCAGGTTCACGGTATGAAATGACCCGTTCAGCATGGTAATAATTTGTTTTATTTAAAGTTCAGTTACCGCCGCATATGACGTCGGCGAGGTTCGTCTGTATCGACTGGTGGGTCTTGCAGCCTTCTCGGATCGTCACGATCTCTCCGTGGATCTTGGTGACCACTTCTGACTGCGACAGCAGCATTGACTTTCCCTTCCCTGCTTCGCCGAGTCTCACGCTGTCCGGGGTGGCTACGAAGTACCCTTGGGACGTCTGGTAAACCTGAAATTCAAAACCGTACAGTTAATATATCACAATGTATTCGAAATGAGGCGGCCCATGGCAATAAGTAATAATCTATAAAAATCCAAAAAAAATGACAGTTTACTTAGTGTTTTCAAAACTGATTAATATACTTTCATCTTATTTATGGACGTGTCTGTAAGAAAAGTGTGATATCAATTGCACCTAAAGCAAACAACTCTCAGCGTACAGGCTAAAGACAAATGGCCTTTTTTTCATGTCGGCTGAAAGAAATCGGGAAGAAAAGTAAGTACTGTACGAAAAGTAAATCGTCGGAGATTTACATTTTAGCGGCTTAATAAGGAATAACAACGTATGCCTGCGCATATGGTCAGAAGAAAGTATCTGTCTGTTTGATCAATTACTTATATTACACCTTGAATCATGGCTAGTGGTTATTTGCTACGAGTTTGCTGGCGTAAGATAATTTAAACGACTTTATTTTTTTTAAATGGGCCTGACAAAACCTACGAGGCAAAAGATAAATTTAAAAGTCTCTACTATGATATCTAAAACTCTCAATAATCGAATTTTTAAAATTATTGAGCAATGGGAAGAGTTTTACCCACATCTGGTGCTCCCAAATTGAAAATGCGTTTGTTTGCGATAAACTGACTGTAATATATATATATATATTACACTATATATGTATAGTGATTGGTGGCCGTTAGTCGATGATTATTCGGAGATAATAAGAGACCGCATGGTGTGACCTTAGGTTTTAGAAAAACATTTTCTTTATCGTGCCAACGTTTCGATCTTTATTGAGATCATCTTCAGGGTCCGATATATTNAAAAAATCATTTAAATTAAAATGATTATTCGGAAATCGTGAGATGCGGTCTGGTTTGATGTAGGTTTCAGAAAAATATTTTCTTTATCGTGCCAACGTTTCGATCTTTATTGAGATCACTCACTTTTTGAGTGAGTAGAAATACTTCGATTGAATATAAAAAAATATTTTTTGCATTGTATAAATTCACTTTTTTCCACATCCTACATGCATTTGTTAAATATAAACAATGTTTGTAAATCCCAGGCCCTGAAAATGATGTCAATAAAGACCGAAACGTTGGCACGATAAAGAAAATGTTTTTCTGAAACCTACGTCACACCAGACCGCATCTCGCGATTTCCGAATAATCATCGGTCACTAATCACCACACATTTAAATAAAAATGGTTGCTTTTTTTGTAGGTACGGTAGTTTTTAAAAAAACCAGAGGTGCACAATAGTATTAATTGTACACGGCTGAGAACTTAATGGGTAAATATATTATCATGGAAACGAAAAGCAACAACGTGACTATGGAAAAACGTGATTTCGATGATTTTTCTACTCGATCATTCTTAAAAGATTCCTTCCTAAATAAGTGATATTATGTGACGTTTATTTAAATATAATAATTGTTCAGAAATCGTGAGATGCGGTCTGGTGTGACGTATGTTTCAGAATAACATTTTCTTTATCGTGCCAACGTTTCTATCCAACATATATAAACACAAAACATCAATATCTCACTGGCATCTCAACACGACACGCAAGAATGGCGCNTCATTGATAGTCCTTATCTCCTCTTTCAACTACAGCTACATGTCCCTTCGCACTCTCTTAAAACCTATAAATTATTTTATATTGAATTCCAAAGCTCTAACTATATATATATATATTACATTGTACTAGATATTATTAATCTTTTTATGTAAGCTGTAATGAAAAAGCTTGTGTCAAGGGATCACCATCCCATCATCAGCTTTTTCGTATCAATCACATGTGGGTAAAACTCTTCCCATTGCTCAATAATTTTAATATATATATTTAAGGTTTTATAAATTATATATATATAAACATATATACAAATATATATAAACACGAAATAATATAAATTATTTAGTAAGAAATATATTATGCATCATCGAGCAGAAATTATAAAATGTAATCGAAAATGGTGTCTCTTTGTTTTATCTGTGCCGATTTTTAAATGTTTGACATTTTTAATAAAAACTAAATAAATATTGGTGAATCTGCAAGGAAAATGTAGGCTACTATTCGAAAAACAAAAGTTACATTTTTAAATTGTTAAAGAATAATTGTACTGTAATTATTATTGCAATGTTTGAAAAAAATCATTTAAATTAAAATGATTATTCGGAAATCGTGAGATGCGGTCTGGTTTGATGTAGGTTTCAGAAAAATATTTTCTTTATCGTGCCAACGTTTCTATCCAACATATATAAACACAAAACATCAATATCTCACTGGCATCTCAACACGACACGCAAGAATGGCGCAATTACATAGAAGACAAACACTTTGAATGAGTAGAAATACTTTGATTGAATATAAAAAATATATTTTGCATTTTATAAGTTCACTTTTTTCCACATCCTACATGTATTAGTTAAATTTAAACAATGTTTGTAAATCCCAGGCCCTGAAAATGATCTCAATAAAGATAGAAACGTTGGCACGATAAAGAAAATGTTTTTCTGAAACCTACGTCACACTAGACCGCATCTCACGATTTCCGAATAATCATCGGTCACTAATCACCACATATTTAAATATAATATAGATATAGAAATAGATTCAATATATCAATTTACAATAGATATATAAAGTAGAAGGAGGGAATTTAATTTAGAAATTGGTGAATTTAATTTGTAAAAAGGTGACTTTGATTTTCAAACGAGTGAATTTGCTTTTCAAATTGGTGAATTTGATATGTAATTTGCCAAAGCCAAAAATATATTGATATAAACAAACCTCGGCTTCTTTTATTCAAGAGAATGGCACGGTAAGAATAAAGCACGATGGACGTTTCACCGGAAAAATTTTAATGGAATTAACGCGAGGTATTTTTTGAATAAGTCTCATTAGGGAATAGGTTGACGTGATCGAGAGTAAAAACGCTTTCGTTCTCATTATCCTTAAATAAACCCAAATCACTTTTCAAAGTTTCTTAATCCCCCACATTTTCGTTCCAGAGTGTAACTTTCACGTAAGTTTAATAAAATAATTCAGCGGGTTTTAACAGTTTCGTTCAATTCCTTCTTGTAAGAGAACCATTTAATAAAGTATGGATTTCCCAGCATGAAAAGAAGAGAAACAGTGGGAATGTGCAACAATTGACACCTATTAATACAAAAGTAATATACCTTTTCCCACAATTGCCAGAGTCTTTCGTTCCGTATTACATTCAGACTCCACCTTTCTCTTTATAATAAGCATAGTTGCTTTAGTGTTTGTCTCCACTGTTGTTTTCAATCTTCCTATCTGATTTCGTTCAATTCTTTAAAAACCGCGACATCAATGGAGTAAGACTAGATAATAGTATTTACATTAATTCTCTATGTTTTGTCCATCTTTATAAAGCTTTTGTACAACCCATATTAGAATACGCTACACCTGTTTGGAACCCATTCTATCTAAATTATCAAAAAATTCTTCAATCTGTGCAAAACAAATTTTTTAAAACTTTCCTACAAACTCAATCTTCCTTCNATATATTATTTGTATTTTTACATAAATTATTTATATTTTTTGTTATTGTAAAATGTCTTTTTTTATAGTGGATTTCGATCCGTAAATAAATAAATAAATTATATATTTACTTTTTGCCGACGATATCGTACTATTCGCCGATTCGGCTACTGTAGCGCAACGTAACCTGGATATTCTAGCTGAGTATTGCACCCTTAATGGTCTTGTGGTTAATGTAACGAAAACAAAACTTATGGTATTTAGAAACTCTCCCAAATGTAAAAGATCGGAAAAGCTACGCCTTGAGTGCGTAGATTATGTTAACACAGTTACATATCGAGGTGTACCATTTAGTTGTGTTGGGAAGTTCAGCTCAGCAGTGAAAAATTCATTTAACAAAGGCTTGAGAGCACTTGGGAAGTGTAGAGACGTCTTAATAAAGGGTAGATCGCGTTCATTAGAAACGAAAAAGAGACTGTTTGATTCTATTGTTGCTGCCTCATCCTTGTACTCGCGGAATTGTGGTCCCTCGGCCATTTTAACGAAATGGACAAAATTACAAGTATTTTAAGCAACTTTACCATTTGCCAAGAAATACTCCTAGTCAGTATGTAAGGATTGAACTTGAACTTGACCCCATTACTGTGCAGTTGCTAAAAAGAATTTTAAATTTGTGGATAAAATTATTGAACAGGGAAAATGGTTCGCTTTTGAGAAGTTCCTTTCATGATGTCTTCCGTAAGGCCAATTCATCATGTGATTTAGAAGTAAATGATAGGGACTGGTTCTATCAATTGCAGAAGTTATTTATTGGTTTAGGTTGTAACAAGATGTCCCTTTGTGACCCTGAATGTCTAAAACGCGAAAAAGAAAGTATTTTGTCGAAGTGGAAAAATAATCTCTACTCAATAGACATAGAAAAGGTGCTAAACTCAAAATTTAACCCTTTTTATAGAAAAATCAGCTCCCTGTATAAATTTTAAAATTATTTACAACTAACTTTGTCATTAAATAAGGAAAGATTACTTATACAGCTAAGGCTGTCTAGTGCTAAGGAAATCAATTTTTTTGTAAATGGGCTCAAATATGTAATTGACACACAATCAATGTGCTCTTCGTGTAAATTATGTGAAGAGGAGAACTTGGAACGTATATTTTTACACTGTCCAATTTACCAACCTCAAAGATCCTTTTATTTAAAGAAGTACGTAGATACACGTGTAAATAGTAACAAGTTAGACAAATTTGAGTTCTTGCTAAAATTTGAAGCAAAACAACCAGGCAATTGATGTGTTCCATTTTGTTTGCACTTAAATTGAGAGCTTTTGTTGTCAATGAATGATGTTTTATTGTTGCGTCATGTAATTACTGATTTTAAGTTAAGCGCCGTGTAACTGATGATGTAATTTGATTAGTTCTTACATGCTATTATTACTATTAAATTCACTAATTTCGTGGTCCGCTTGACCAATTAATATATTACAATTTACTAAGGTTTTTAGTTGAGATACAAAAGTCAATAGCACGAGCGGGATTCGAACCCACGATCTTCGGCTAGATACGNAGTGTCGTCAATTTAAGGTGGAACATATCTTTAATGATGTATATATCTTTATTTTGCCATTTGGCTCCCCATGTAATAGCTATTGCTGAAATAGAGTATTAATATATCTATCTAATTGCTTCAGTGTTTATGAAATGAATTATGTTCGATGGTATCAACCCAGTACCATTAAATCTGAATAAACCTAACCTCTAAACTCAATAGATCAATCTACAAATAAAAATATCTAACGTGACATTAAACAAGACTTGTGAGTGATGATTCTGGGTATGACTTTGAGATAGAAAGTAATAACAATGAAAATGAATAGAACCTTATTGTTGGCCATTAAATCCGCCAGTGTGTCGTAGAGCAGGTGACTCGAAGGTTGTTCCATGCCGGGGAAACTGGAAGAAATGGCGGATTTGATCGTGTCGAGTACGGCGTTCTGCCCGGAGGCTCCGAGCTGCAAGATGACCCAGCAGACTGCATCTGCCAAGGGCGTGAAGCCGGCCTGTCTGACTTTCGACACCGTGCAGTCCTCGACGTCGCCTGGAAAAAGTCCAAAGATTAGCGTGAAAGTGTGGGCCATTTCGGTTTATCGTTCCATCGGTGGATAATAACAACGTAAAAAGCGAAATCCGAACGTTTAGCCTAAACGCTAATAATCCCCCTCCCCCAGCCTAGTAGAACGGAGATCCTTTTGTAATATGAGCTTGCAATAATTTTTATACCGATCTCAATCCCAAGAGAAAACATAATTAAAACATTTCCGACAAAATGGTCTCGTATTTTCTTGTATGATTTTACAGTTTAGACCGATAATGGGCAAAATAAGAACTTCTCACAGTCAAACGTTGCGAAAATGGGTTACCTGTGAAAACAAAACCATTGTCGAATAACAGCCACATATATTTTCTTGTTTTATGTAAACAAAACAAATCATAAAATGATAAACGATAAAATTTTAACCTGTTAATTTTTTTTAAAATAAATTAATTCCTTTTGCTGCTTTGAGAAATTGCGATCATGCACAATCCACCGTTTTGATGAAGCCTATTATTTTACCTAACAAATTTAACATTAAGAATTTTGCTATTTTAAATTGACTTTAGTTGTCACTTTTACTGTATTTTTTTACAGTGTAAAGTTGTTATTATTAAACTATTACCGCTAGGGCTTAACGCAGCTCTGGCTCCATAAATACGTTTTTCTCCCAATTTTCACTATTTTATGATTATTATATTATATCAGCCGATTTGGTTTTCCTTTTAACCTAGATTAATAAAATACTATGCAGGAACATATTAAATGGGATTAGACATTTTTGATAAAATTTACCAAAATACGCTTTCCGTTAAGTAGGAATAAGACAAAATATTTTTGAACAAAAAACAGATCAGATTCGGTTTAAGCACACTTTAAAGCTCTTAAAAATGAATTTTTATAGCAATAAAAATTATCAATGTTTGGGCTGGATCAGCCAGGATGTTTTCTTCCAATATTTAGTTTCAACCTGAAAATTTATAACACCATTGATTTTAATTGATATAAAAAAACAACAATGAACGCTATTACAACCATTGGATAATGGATTGTCTCTACTTCGAGGTAATTAAATGTGATTATGAATGAGACAAATAAGGATGAAGTCAACAAAAACTCCTCGGGCTGAAATGACCAAGCTGTTGAATCCCCCCTAAAAAGAAAACTCTCTAAGTCTGATTTATTTGGGAAGTCTATGTTTAGTTTATTGGGTTCTAAAGCTCTTTAAAGTCCAGTAGATCGATGGAATAGTTTCAAAGTTATCCATTTTTGTGATTTGGGTCTTCTGAAGTTAAGCATTGTGTTAAACCTCTGACAATACCCTTGGGAGGAGGGGGGCGTCGGTGGTCGCAAGGTTTAGTCTTTGACACGGCGCTCATCACTGTAAGGTAAAGGACATACTTACAAATGGGATTTTTTTCAAAAACACCGGCACCCTGAGGGTTTATATGACCTCTGCTATTGCGAACCCAACAAAACAAATTACCCCAAAAACAGTACACAAATTACAAATAAAAAAAAGAACCTATAATCAAAAAGACCGAATGGAACAAGAAAAAACCGACAAACGAACACCAACAGAAACCCCCTACCATCCATCGAATCCGACATTCTTACAAATGGGCTTTTTTTCAAAAACACCGGCACCCTGAGGGTTTATATGACCTCTGCTGTTGCGAACCCTCGTAAAAAAAAAAAAAAAAATACCCTTGGGGTCATTCTCATGATGGAGAAGTTATTTTGAGTTTTCTCATTATTTCAAAGAACGTTATACATTGATAGCCCATAGGATTTTTCACGGTTCGAATTAAATTGCTGTGTAAGCTCATACACACTGATTGACAAATTTAACACACAACTAAATCTATTTAGATTAAAATTAAATCAATTATCTTTCTACATTACTTACAGGTAATTAGAATCTATCGTAATCAAAATAAACAGTAAATAATGCTTTGTTGAGCCCTTCCATTCTGCTATTCCTAAAGACTTCTTCCAGTCAATCTTTCTCCTTCGTTCATTTCATTTGATATTATTCTTATTCGTAAACCTTTCTCCAGGCTCCAGTCAGGCATGTGAGTGAGTATAAGATGGTCAAAGTCATACCATTATTAAAGGAAGAATATAGCCAGCGGGAAGTCGCCAGGAGACTGAGTGTTAATCACTCTACCGTAGGAAGAACTTCAGAGAGAACATGGCTTCACACTAGAAGGCCAGGACAGGGTTGATCTAGGTCTACAGACGATATATATGCAAGGTGGGCGACCAAGACCCGAGGGGTTAAATGCCTGGGTAGACTCTTACCCCATCAGTAAATCCCTAAAAGGACTCGGCTGACGTGTCCTGCATAAATCCCTTGGACCTGTTCACAAACCCCAAGATTTTGGACCATTTAATCTCGGGGAGTGATTTGATGATGTCCTCTCCTTCAAAGATTTCAAATTTAGACCTAGAATATCTATCACACTCTGCGAGGTAGTGCCTTCCCGTTTCTTCTTTTATTTCGCAAAAACGGCAAAAGGGATCTGGTAGAATATCCATTACGGAGAGGTGTCTCCTCAGTGGGCAGTGGCCCGTCAGGATGCCTATCAGCCTCCTAATTCCCTTTCTGAGGAGGTGTTATTACCAAGAGGGGAGGAGATGCTGATTCCTAATTTTGGTATGTAGATTCCTGCACCACTCCCTCTACCTTTGATAAGTGAACCATCTGTGTAGCAGTCTATGTTACGATGGTCACCATCCAAACTGTAATCACAAGGGGTTACTAGCTGAAAGTACTTTTTCCCCGAAGGGGTTTTAATCTTTTTATCACTAACGCTTAATAATTGGCCGTTAACCTTACTCAATAGTTTTGAGATTTTCGAGTGACCTACGTTAATGCACTCATAATTCTAGCTGCCCTCGCCAATAGAGAGAGAGACGATTCATCAGTCTCATAAGGCTCTATGAAAATAACCTCAGGGCCCGGTACTCGACTCGCGGACCTCTTCTTACCACACTTGTGAATTTGACACTGGAAGATTGGGGACGAGTCCTTTTTACAGATGAGGTGGAGTAGGCGTCAAATCTTCAGATGAACGTCATTTCATATAGAGGTGATGAGGACAAAGGTAGGCCATGCTGTGTTTCATCAGGTGGCAATTGATGTTCTAGGGTGGCATTTCCTTGGACGCCCCAAACCGAATTGTTGATGTCCGAGAAAGATCTCTAACTTCATACAAGACATAATCTTTGCTTTGCCCCAGAATTTGTTCGTCAGTACATTTTCGGTAAGTGTTGACTTTTTGGATATAAAGGGGTTGTTGACATTAATCTTTTCGACAGGAACTTACCCGTAATTTTGTATTTCCAGTTCTTCGATAAGAAATTCCCGATCGAATTCGTTTGTTGGTTGTGCTTTTTGATTTTCCTTTGGATATCCGGAGTGAGTGAGGTGAGAAGTTACCTGGCCCAGCCAGTTTGTGCTAAATCTTAGGGACTCCTAGCCTTTTATCCTGCGTACTTTATCCCATATTTATTTTATTGGGTTTGATTGTTCAGGCTCTTATTGCATTTTTTCTTTTTGTCGAGTAGTCTGCAGTAGGCTATTGCGTTTTTTAAAGAAAGGTTGATTCCATCTTAAAATAAGTGATATACTAGCTCGTTGAAAGGTTCGATTTTTTTTGCCAAATCAAAATTTACTACGAATTTGTTTTTACCATTTATAAACATGTAAAAATTATCTGTTGTATAACAAATGACATACTTTACAAAATTTTAGTAAATATAATATTATTGTGACTGTTTTCTGATTATTTACATGTCTGTCTTATCTGAAAAAATAATAGCTTTTAAATTTATTTTGCTGGTTATTACGAGCTTACTTTGGCACTATTAATAGAACAAAACATTAAAATCTGATTATCCTACTACTGACGAATACCTATTCTTCTTGCGTTTCACAATTTTTGGTATCCAAAAGTACACGTTCTAGAATAAGAAAAATAACGGATTTAAAATTCCATTCTGGGACACGGTAGCGAGTTTCATGGTCCCCTGTTCCGCTTTTCAGGGAAATTTGGAATTTTTTAAATATGTGTTTTGTGTTTCTGTGCTTTGTATGAGTGAGTGTATTTATTAGAGTGAATGGGGAGGGGCTGATGGTGAAATAGCATCCCGATCGCCCAATTGGATTAGTTTGTGATTGTATGCAGGTTGATGGAGGAATATTGTATACCCCATCTACTAAATAGACTGAATGTAATGTATATAGGTGTGAATGTATTTATTTGGGTGAGTGCGTATTGTGTTTCGCATGCGCTCGGGGCTGAAATAAACAAGCTTTCGGATGCCCCTAAAAAAAAACTTGTTTATTGGACTACTTATATTTTCACAACCAATTGTCACTCCCCGATGTGCGTCAGGGGAGTTCACCATTGCGTTACGCCACTGGGTCGCTAGTTTTCCTCTTAAGCCAGATAGACGATCGCTTCCCAATTAACCACGTTAGTCTCCAGGGGCTATCGACTGCTGGGTCTTTTACAAACGCGTGCAAAATATAATCTAGTCTAAATCTAACTATCATGTATAATACAATCATACGAACCTATTCACACCTATGTACATTGCACACTTTTTAAAAAAATGGTTGGTCGTTGTAGTACTCCATCGACCTATATACAGTAGTAATAAGCAAATAAAAATTACATTCAGAATCGATGGGGGAATATTTATAAAAGTACTACATCAAACCTAATTGTAATATTTATTAACTAAACACACACACACACACACACACACACACACACACACACACACACACACACACTGATGGAAGGAGCGATGGTGATGCTGTATTTCACTATCAGCCCCTCACCACTCATTCTAACAAATAGACGCACTCAGACAAAACACAGAAACACAAAACACTTTAAAAAAATCCATATACAATAAAAAAAAACACCCACGTTCCCTAAAATGCAGAACAGGACACCCAGAAACTCGCTACTGTGGCCAAGAAACATTCT